TAGTAGGTTAACCAATGAATTTTTAATTATCCGCCCAAAACAAACTCACCCCCCCAAAAGGGAATGTTGCCAAGTCTTCCCAGCGGCCATTTTTCAAATGACATCCTTCACCTTCCTCGGGCTCTTCTGACAAATTTTCAATCCCATTTTTGTCTGCTTTGCCCCCAGATGGGTGCCCCTGAATCTACAGAGATGATTCTGGGCCATACTGACACAATCCCACTATTACCTGGCCCAAACAGACCCATCTTTCCAAAACAATCTCTAGGGGTACTTTTTGTGCGCCTCGCCCTGGCGGGGAATTTTCCTTGAATTGGGACCCTGAACCCCTAGGGCGAGCCCCCCAAAAGTTGTCTAGACCCCAAGACCGCAGAAATGAAAAGGCAGTGGCGAAAGTTTAAAGGTGACGTCACGTGCAAATGGTCTAGCCCCCCCCCGAAAAAATTTCTCCACCAGTGAACTGCCATAGACAACAATTGAAATACCTGCAGTCTAAAAAACAGGAGAAATACAAGTTTTTCAGGTTTTCAAGACACACATAAAGTGAAATTCCTCATCTTTCATTTTCTTTTCGATTCTCAGTGGCCTAACCGATGACTTTTAAAGATTTTTTTCCCTCCAGAGATAATCACCCCTCAAAACAATCCCAGAGTTCTTCAAATCGATACCTACACTCCCTTGCAAGACAGAACGATTTTGCCGACCCCATTTTGTCCGATACTTTCATAAATACAAGCTGACAATCATGCTGGTAGATTCCATCTTCCTTCTTTACAAACCATCCAGTCCATGTGCCATGAAATGCTCTTATAGCAGAGAATGTGACAGCATCAAAATCCTGAGTTGGTCACCAACTTTGGGCCCATTTACTGGTCTGCAAGTTGAGGACTCCTCGCAGTACATCCACTCTGTATTGTGGGCTTATAGGGCCCCAGACGAGAGCCAGTCTAGATCTACTGGACTGCCTTCGTAACCTGCGGAGGACTTAGTCCAGTAGACTGGCTCTACTATGAGACGTATTGTGGCACACGCTGTGTGGCCTCTTCAACACGCGACATTGACAGCACGATATTTCGCCAGGGTAATGGCAAGAAAGTCTGTCTACATTCGTTCATTTGCTTTCCGCACGTGTTTAAATATTTATTGTAGCCGTTTTTCGTTTCTAATAATTTAATACTAAAATGGAAATGGTAAACGGGGGGTGGCTGGTTGGTTTTCTGCTTTTCTGTAGAAAAAGTTCAACTGCGGGTATGTTCAACCTGGGGGTAAGTTCAACCTGGGGGTATGTGGCCAAGTGGTTAGGGTCTGTGGCTTCCAATCATAGGGTTTGGAAGTTCGAATCCAGCTGCTGCCAGTATGTTGTGGCCCTTGGCAAGCCACGTCACCCCTGCCCTGCCTCTCTCCACCCAGAAGTATAAATGGGTACCAGAATTAGCTGGGGAAGCAACCTGCGATGGACTGGCATCCCATTCAGAGGGAATAGAAATATTCTCAGTCGCTTTATGCTAAGAAATCCGGAGATAAACACCGGCCTGAAAGTAAAATGAACAGCTTTTTGTTTTTAGGGTTTTTTATACACAAAACGAAAAAGGAAATCCCTTTTTCGATGGGCCACATGGCCTTTCGTGTCCTTAACCATGGACGGCAATGCTTCTCCACGACCGTCACTATGCACTCCGATAGTTTCTGTTTATTTCAAAACTGTCTGTAAAACTTACATGTAAATTACACACATGAACTCCTATTTGATGTATCAGAAAAAGTCGTTGAGGGCAAGATTTCAGGAGCCCCCATTATTAGTTCACACTAATGGAGCAAAATCCATAGAGTGGCATACTCGTTCTTGAGCTGAGTGATTTCTAATTCAAAGCTTTGTTCCTTTGCATTTACCAGGCCCTGATAATGTTCATCACCGGTGTAGCGGTACCCAACACCTGGATCTCAATCCGCAAGCTGTTTCCCACCCCTTTAACTATAAACCAGCCTCGGACACTGGAGAACTTCTGCAAGTTGGACTATGGTTTCCTGGTATCGATGTGCTATAACGCTGTCCTGGCTTTAGCTTGCTCTCTCTACGCCTACAAGGCCCGCAACGTGCCTGGTAACTACAACGAAGCCAAGTTCTACGCCGCCAGCGTTTACACCACGCTTGTGTTGTCTCTCGCAGCATTACCGGTGTACTTCATCGCCGAGACGGCGCTAGCCCTGGCTGTATCCTTGAGCCTGGTTCCCATCATGGATGGCTACGTGACTCTCCTCTGTATTTACCTGCCCAAGCTGTACGTGGTCATCTTTAAGAAGCTAGGTGATGGTGACAACCAGGGAGACGCTAATGGCGGGAGGTTCCGGCCGAGGAAACTCCCAGCTTTGGTCTCAACCGGAAATGTCACTAAGGTTCACCCATCCCAGACGTCAGTAGAGTAAAATTCAGCGACTGTCACTCTTTTCCGCGTTTGGCTGTCCAATTTCCCGGAATTTGGGACAACCAGAGGTGGATGCATTTCGGGAGCCTTTTACGAAAAAGGCTCATAGACATTGTAGTTTGGAACATTTATTTATAAGATTTATTACACAAAACTTTAATATAAGGTGGTTGGTTATCTAAATATTCAATTAGAATTAAAAAGTGCACGTACTTCTAATCTCATCTGAATGGCAGTTTGAGGATGATATAATTTACGAACTTCATATCAGATTTCAACGATCAGAATTAAATAATGCCTTGATAATTAAAATGTTCACATGTGTATGATATTTTAGTGGTCTGTATTTGTAAATATCAATGTTTGTCGTATTTGTCAATTTTACTTGTCGTCGTGAGTTATTAACTATTTTATTAATTTGTAATGGTCGCAGGGCCCCAATGGAAACCAGTTTGTAACTGTTTGGGCATACCCTGGGTAAAGAAAGGAATAAATAAATAAATAAATAAATAAATAAATATCGTGTTTCAAATTCCAGCATACTGTGCACTTAGGCAATACAGGCTATGCATCTTGCTGACTAACAGTGATGAATGACTGCAGTAGCATGCTTTTATGTAGCTCGCTAATGTAATCATGAATAATAAAGCCTGCTCTGCTGTCCAGGTTTTAAAGGTTGAATGGTGAAGCATAACACTAAATGAAAAATAGTATTGCGTGAGAGATGTGAGGGCACAGTTCATCATTTACAGATATCCAAAAAAGAAAAAGACAAAATTATTGTTGAATATATACTTGAGTTTAAAGATGGTCATGTAATGAACTCCCTTTCTGACAGGTTGTCGTTTGGAAGAATACAGTGAAAGAAGGCGATTTCCAACGATGCGTCTAAAGACGCAGTTTTGGATACTTGCTATTAGAAGCACGCTCAAGCGTTGAAATGACACACGTGCGTGCAATTATAATTCGACGGTTCAGTGCGTGACATTGCATGACTGCATTTGACTATAAATAATAATAATAATACAAATACTCAGCAATTTTTGATCGGAAATCGAAATCTTAGAATATTCTTTTTCTCGGAATATACAGTATTGACCGAACTTGAAACTTCATCAGATTTGTTGTTAAGGCACCCTTCTTTAGATTTCAAGTAAGTTTGTTGCCTTAAAGGGACATAATGCAAAAACGACTATCGAGGGACTTGTACCTTCAACGGTTCACACTGCATTTTGATGACAAGGAATTTTGTACATTGTTGAGCGCTTGCTTGAATCTGTTGTCATTATGTTACATTTGAGCTAAAAGCATTTATTGCACCTTAGGTAAGTGTACATAATTGTGCATGAATTAAGACAGCACGGCTGCAGTTTCTGCTGGTTTCTTTCCGACCATATTTTGTGCTCGACATAGCATGTGAAAAAAACTTTTTTTGTAAAAGACTTCAACTGTAAATGTTTGGTAAAGTGTGAGATAAACGAGTACAGCTTTTACGTGTGCTAAAATAACCAACAAAGGCCGAAACTGTTGAAAGGAGCTAGGCCTGTTCATTATCCCTAAGTGAATGACATCGTCAGACAATCTGTGAAATCTTTCCATCCAGGATACTGTAATTTTCGAGAAGAAAAACTTTTTCTTTTTCCAACGATCGTCTGGACAGACGATGAAATATGAAATTCGTAAATTACCCCAATCATTAACTGGAGCAACATAAATATGCATGACGCGTGCAGCTGTTGGAGGAGTCTATATTTAGTGGTTAAAAGTATTTTGGTATGCTCAAAATACATTATTAACTTTCAAAAAAGACATATACAACTGTAATTGATAGGCTAAAGGAGAATATGGAGAAATAATATGGAATATGGAAAAATGTCATGTATGAAAAAGGAATTTTCCACATGCGAAAATAACACATCATATAATCACCCGTTGAGATAATGGTCTGGTCCAAACCGAGCAGCACCGTACAACATGGCCGCACCTTTGGATCTCGTGACGAGGCCTGCAATTTTCAGAAAATCAACGCTTTTTCTATGACAACAACTTGTTTGGCCCATAATGCAAGAGTCGTTACCACGTTTGTTGATTTTTAAAGTGTTTATGTCGTGCACTGACAGCGTGGACTGATCGCCGCGCTGTAACTGCAGTTAGTTCTCTACACAATAAAGTGGTGGTCAGCAAAACATATTTTTAAAAATAATAATAAATAAAAAATAATACAAAATAAAAAATAAATAAAAATGGTTGTGTCCTTTTACCGTTCCACTTTCTTATTGTTAGGTGTTTAATCGTTGAATGACTTTATGCGATTTTGATGGTTTGTAAATAGAAGTTATGCTTTGGGTCTCAGAGGATGTTTTTGTTATTTTGATTTAGTTACAATGAATGTACAAAAGGTTTACTCAAGTCTATTCCGGTGATAAAGGACATGGCCCGCTGAGGATGCGTATTTTGGTATTTTATTATATCATTCACAAGAGACAACCTTTATTTAACGTGACATTTTTAATAAGCTGAATTGAATTGAATGTATTTAGCATTTCATTGTTGAAGGGAGAGACACAAACTTTCAGGTAAATTTCCCGACTATTATTCAAAGCCATGAAAAGCATGTATTTTTGGGAGACTACCTTTGCTCAACAAACACACGTCGCCTGTGCATTATCCTCGTACTCCGGAACTTCCTGCATTCCATGCAATTTTTGCAAGACAAATCACAGGAGCTGAGTTTTGAGTGTTTGAGTGCTGAGCAGTGTTTTTCTTGAATTTTCTGCAAACAATGAACGCAAAATGATGAAAGAGTCAATGAAATGACATACAAAATAAATTTTAAAAACCCTAATCAGTCAATTTGGGGGGAATACAGCAATGTTTATAATGGTTTGGAAAGCGTATTCAAATAATTATCCCGTTCCAAACTGCGACTCCTCTTCTTAACCTATAGCTCATGGTTCCTTATTATTTTAAATTGAAAGCGTGAAAGGCCTGTGTGCGTTTTGACTTTCATAACAGGATTAACAAATTAGTAGTCTACTCTATACAGGTATATGGATATTAAATTTTTATACAGAAAAATCATCAACTTGAAACTTTAAATTTCACTACCAAGAAATCTAAATTAATGTTAAGACATAGTGAAATGTGTTTGTTGTTCTATATGTCAAAATGACATAAAAGCTCCAACTCCAATTTGGTGCATCAAAGAAACTTGTTTGTTTCAAAACTGTTTGGAGTAGCTAAGCTTGACTACAGTTAAATTATCATAAGTATTTCTTACTATTCAAAGTGTACACTAAGAATAACTCCATAAAAAAGGGGGAAAAGAGAGTTCTCCATTACTCTTTAAAAGCATTCTTGTGTATAGAAATACGATTAACTTGTAAAGCGTTGTTTGTAATGATTTTATTGAATGAAAGAAGTTGCTTTTATTCAAGCTTAATTTTAAAGAATATCAATTCTCATTTGTAACCTTTGCGGTCTTCTTGAGGGGTGAAGCTAAGTTGTTGGGCGTTTTGAACGATTTTAAAAGATTCAAAATTCGTCCTTCAATCAATTGTATTTGGAAACACATACCGTTTTCGGGGGGTGGCCCCATTTGCTCCTCCGGAGACAACATTGCCCTCGGCCCCTGTAAAGACTACCTCCCTTAAAGGGGCGCTGTCATTATGCAAAGCCAACTATTCAATAACCCACTGTCTTTCCTTCTTTTACTTTACTTCGCAATATTTTCACTTCAGTCTCAATTTTTAATCTCATGACTTTACCGAGTGAATAAGTAAGTACTTGGAACAATCAGCTTCAAAAGCCCAACTGGTCCTGTGCATGTTTTATATGATCGGACAACCACAATGCTGTTCCCATTCACCAATACCTTTTTGAAGAATTCAGCAAAAATTTCTGACATTTTCGTACGTAAACTTCCCATTTCACCTCTTGTGTGCTGTTTTCTCTTTAACCCTAACCCCCTAGGGTATGTGTAAAATCATATTGAAATCGGAGGATCTGGGACTGTTAGGGTTCACTGATCAATGTCGAATGGCATGTTTCTGCCTCTACCATTGTACAGAATGGTCAGGTCGTTTGACAAGAACAAGAAAATAAGGGTTTGAAATTTTGAAGCATTTGAACACTGCATTTGTTCATAACATTAAATACAACACTTCTACATGACCTCCTCTTCAATTTAATTTCAACTTTTTTCAACTTTAATATGTATTGATTATACTTCGATTATTTGGATGCTTTATTTTTCAACTGGGAGGTACATTAAACAGTCGTATATGACACGTATTTAAAAAATCGTGAAGGAAATACCTCACACTTGCTGCCGTGCAGAGCATTGTCGGCTCTTTTCCGTCCCAATCCACGAATATGCATTCGCAGCGAACATGTCTTGCTAATTAGGAAGTGCTGACCCATTGTTTGAAGGAACTCTAAATGGGTGACAGTCGTGCATTTGCCCGGGGGACAAGCGGAATACATTCATTGAGCCGGCTCGGTATTTCACCTTAAAATGCCAAGTTCTTTCGAGATCCAAGCGCATGTGAGTCATCAGCGTATGGCTGCGCTGATAGGACAGACGCGTGCGTGTTGCTGTTGGAGTACCGAACTGGTTTATTAAGTGTAAATAAAGTTTCATGTTTAGTCACGATGTTTACGTTTATTGTTCTCTTTAATGGTTATAAGTTATTACTCATTTTAAAATGTTAGAAACGTAATAACTTTCTTACCCTAAATTTCTTGGAGTTCAAAACCAACCCATTTCTGATGGACTAATTTAGCTTCTTTGATTGAAATAAACACATAATAATTATTGCCGCATATGTCAGACACAAAATGAATGAAATCTTACACCAGCGCAAGTTTAATTCTTTTGTTATCGTACGGCCAGAGCAGTTTTAATTCCAGATCGATAAACAATAGCATTTTATGTAAGTGATAATTTAGCAATAATGCCAAAGGAACATCAAATAAGATGCAAAAGAGCTGAATACTACGGTAAGTCAATTTAATTTGGACGCTTTAGGTCTACGATGGAGGATTGGTTGGGAGACGAAGCATGAGAGGGAGACGAAATCGAGTACATGTATTGGAAAACAGCAAATATTTTACATCAAATTTTCAGTTTTATAGACATGAGGACTACGCTAATTACTTCTTTTTCAATGGTTCTAAATTACACTTTTTGAAAACAATTCTAAAAACCTTTATTCCCCTACCCCAAATTTCTCTTAGTTTTAAAAGGAACGGCATCAACATAAAGCGGGT